TCAGCTGGGAAGGAGGTGAGCTAGTGTTTGCGATGACTATACTCTTATTTGGTTTTGTTTTAGGACTTGCACCATAAATTTTGAAGGGTACTAGAATCAGCTGTGTTACTTGAAGAAAATCATTTTAAAAAAAAAATCCTTTCAAAGCTTGGACTTTGAACTGAAATGAATTTTTATCATTTAACAGTATGTAAAAAAACTTATCCTATGCTATATATACAATAGAACACATTTACGCTTGTATATTTCTCATAAACAAGTTGCTGTTATATTGACCTAACTCCTTAATGGCATGTTGAACAGCCCAAGTACATGTTAAATGACAAAAGATCACAGGTTGAGGACAATTGTAAAATATATATAGAAATTAGTTCCTGTGACTTTTTCAAAATATGAGTATTCTCTTTCTCTATGATCTATCTTCCATAGGACACCTATGCTGGAAGCTTATATTTTTTTCGTTTTTCCAAAATGCTAAATGCATTGTCAAATTTCTCATAACATGCTCAATTATGTTCTCATAAAATTTGGATGATCACAATATGGAATTGAAAATCTAATAGCAACTATTGTTTGTCATCTACCAAAGTAGAAATTTTGTCATATTGTCATGATGTTGCAGGTCACATTTGTTTTCACAAACCAAATAGATGGAAAGCTTGTACCTCTTGAATCAAAGGTAAGTCCAAAGACACAGGGAGTAGAAGCAAATGAGAGCAGAGGGAACTTCAAGCGAGACATGGACTGTAAGTTAGATTTATCATCTCAAGTTCGAAAGCCACTAGAGCCTGTTTCTTCCAATGGAAATGCCATGGATATGGCTTTCTCTACTTCTAAGCTTTTGAAAGTTAATACTAGTATTAGATCAATTAGAACTTCTACAAAAGGCGCAATACAAACAACAATAAAGCCTAGACTTTCTCTTGGAAATAATTTACCCATAAAAAGATTATCTTCTGATATTATCGGGGTAGATGATGATTTTCAATGAACCTTTTTGCAGCTCACTCATTGAATTGATATAATATTTTTTAAATGCTTACAAGTTCTCTCCCGGCATTGAATTGGTATCTTTTGTGCAATGTGGTTTGAAAATTATTAAAGTTTGTAATGATTACTTAATCTTTGATGGACTCTTTCATTGTTGCCAAATGTGTTTATATTGTTATAGACTACCCCTTGGTTGGGTGGTTACTACTACTTTTTGGCAGGACTCGTGTGGGTTTTAGCACTGAACTGTGTGCACCTTCTAATGGACTAAAAACAACAAAAAGTGTTTATATACTTACATGTGTAAATTGCATTTGTTGAATAGTTATAATAGCTTCTTGATGCAATTTACTCTAGAAAAATAACTCCAATAATATCTTAAATATTATCTAGATTTAAAAGTTATTTCTGTTGTATCTTTTTGGTTCCTTTTTTTTTAGAATGAAGTGATATCTTACTAGGAGTAGAATGATAGAGCACCTATTTCCTATTAGTCCTTTAAATGCTAGAGTTTGTTTGGGCAAAGAGGTGCAATCACAAGTTGCCACCTTGTGCTGCCATCTTTTATTGGAAATATAATGGCGCTCTTAAACCGCCTACTTGTTTAGTTGCCAAGATTGCTATTGACTCTTTTCAAATCTTCTTTTTCTACATAATGACATTTGATATAATAAAAATCATATTGTTATTGGAATAAGATTGAAGAATTTTTTCTTTAAATTATGGTTTCTTTCACTTTCTTCAACCATTTTCTTTTCCTTTCTTCCTCTTTTTCCTCTCGCTTTTCCCCTCACCTCTGTCTTTTCTCTCTTGCTCTCCTACTCTTCTCTTTTTACCTTAAACTTTGCTTTAAAAGTGTTGTCCATTACCTTATTTGTCCCCGTTTGTGAAATTGTGAAAGTGTTGTCCCTGCTTAAGTTTTATTAGAGAATGGTTGTTTTCCTCTTTGGTCTTCTTTCTATTTCTCTTCCTCTTGTTCCATTTCTCCCTTCTTTATTCCCTCTTATTGTTTCTCCCTAATCTCACATCTTCTTTATGCTATTTCCCCATTGTTTCAACCTACAACTCAAATGTCCTAGATCAAATCCCTTACACACCTCTTAAGCATCCCATAGAAAACTATATCTCGATGACTTTTTATCATGTAATATGTTAAACTATAACGGACATGCTGTCTCGAGTTTTCAATGTTCATGAGTATGTATAGAGGGCATTGAGATGCTTTGGCATCATCAAGCTTTTATTTTAAGAAGTTAAACTAAATATTCTCTATATGGTCAATGTATTTAATGGTTCTTGTTGTCAACGAGACATTGAGTATTATCCATATGTGTAGTCAACGTTTAAAGTTGCAGTAGAAGAATGGCAGATATGTCAAGATAAGCTTGTGTCTATAAAACTCATCTCTTTGTTAATAAAGTTAAATCTTGACATTTCTCTAGTCATTCATAGCCGGGAGTACCTATTGAAGAAATTGAAGTTCTTATTCCCACTTGTGATAAATTGGATTTTCATGATTCTTCAATTGTGAATGAAATTTGTTCATTCAGAACATGAAGATCAATTTGAAGAAAATCAAGTTCTTTCTACAATCATGGTCAAACTTGTCATAAAGTTTTCAGGATCTTTTAATTAGGAATAAATCTACAACTGACCAATGTATGCAAATTTATTTTGTAATTGATCTCACCTGATTCATGCTTAGGTGGGACCTATAATTTTCATGAACTTGAAATACATAATCAAGCTTTTGTTCTCCAATGGTGATCGTTAGTTTCAAAGGTCTCAATTTGTCAAATTTTGATGCTTCATTACTCCAAAACTTGAAATTGAGTTTTTATTAGGTGAGGGAGAATGATATAAAATTAGAATAAATTAATAAGATATTTTTTAGTATTAAAAAGTACTTGTATGATATTTATTTAATTTTTGCACCTTCTTATATTATATAGATTATTTGCAATATATACTGACTATTTAGGAAAAGTATCTAAATTTTATGAGTAATTTTGATTGTATCTTTTTAGTCAATCTTCTGTAGGATGTGATGACATCTTACTTGAATGATATAACGCTTTATTTTCTATTTTTGGTCCTTTTTAAGTGTAAAGTTTGGTTGGTTCAGAGTAGGTGACAACCACGAAGTTCTAAAAGTTATTCCACTTCTCATTGGGCAAAAGATGATAATCTCAAGTGGTAGTCAAGATTACTTCTGGCTCTTTTAATGTCTCCTTTTTGCCTATATAATGATGTTTTATGTAATGAATATCATATTGTTCTTGGAAATAGAACTGAGCCATTCCTTTCTGGTTTCTTTCCCTTTCTTTAACACTTCTCTTTTATTTCTTTTCTTTTCCCTTTTTCCCATTTTCCCCTTGCTTTTCTCTTTTTCTCTCCTAGTCTTTTTTCTGTCTACCTTCAGTTTTTTTGCTAAAACAGTATTGTCTGTTACCTTATTTACAAGTGATTGTCACTTCTCTTATGACATTGCTATTAGAAGGTAAAAGTTAACGGCAGGCAGCAGTGGTAAAATGATAATATTTGCATTTAGTTAAACCACAAGGTTTACAAAATATTGGAATACAAATAAGAGATGGTGTTTTTTCCTATTCATTTAAACTTTTAATTCTTTTCTATTAGTTATCTCATTATAGTATTAGAGTTAAAGAATTAGTATCTGAATTCTTGTATTATTTATGTTGAAATTTAGTTATGCATTCAGTTTGATACGATTTTGTGTTAGTTTATATATATTAAAATTCAAATATAATTTTTTTTTTTGAATTTAATAATTTCTTTTCTTATCAACTTAAATTTTTAGATGGCGTTAGAGTAAGATAGGATCAAATTCTGGAGGTCCTGTTTTGCATAAAGGTATGTCTACCTGTTTTGACCTATGCATTCAGTTTAATAAATCAATATTTGCTGAAGAGATGTATTGGACTACGAATGATATGTTAGATAATTTTTTATTAGCTTAAGTTTTTAGAAAAATTATCTTCAGTTAATATAAGAAAGATAACACGTATTAGATAATTTCTTATCAATATTTTAGGAAGATAACAAACCTAATTGCCATTTTTGTATATAAAAAACACAAGAAAATATGTGGCAAAGATTATCCTTGTTTAGAAAAGACAATTACTCTTCCCTAGAAAAAGAAATTAGCAGGGCAGAAGTGTGGGAAATATTCAGAGGATCCATATAAGAAAGTGAGGTGAGTTATTCTCACGATTTGACATTGTAAGTCGAGCCAAGGCTTTTGAAAGAAAAACTATTAAGACAGATTCTTGTTAGATTAAAGACTATAAAGAGACATTAGTAAGAAAAAACAAGATATATAAAAAGACAAGTTTTGCTTACAAAATGGGAGACCAAACGGGAGACAGTGACCCTTAGACTAGGTTTTCTTTTCTTCATTAACCCATGATAGATGGTACAGGTCCCTTAGCTTTAGGCATCGTCTTCATGAATTTCACAAATGGAGGCTGAGCATCAGCCACTTGTCCGAAACCCATTTGATTTCGGAAACTTTAATTCATATTAAATGGAAACCATGTGAAAGTTTAAGTGCCAATAAAAAATTTTTTAGCTGTGAATTATATAATGATTGATAGTCAAAACAAAAGTTAGAATAAGATTTCTTTTGGTATTTGCTACTGGCATTTAAAATTTTAATATATTATTTGAAGATCATAAATTTAAATTTTATTATTCTACTTGCTATTACGATATTATCAAAAAAAAATTATTATATGATAACTAAATTTTTTTAGTTGAAATAGCTGTAAGGGATTAATATTTGACAAACTTTTTTTTCTACCAATAACAAAAAGATTTCTTTAGCTTTTGGTTTTTTTCTTTGGCAATTTTCTGAGTATTAAAATTGTTATTTTTTTTATTGGTTACTCATAGGTCATTGAAAATAAAAAAATTAAGGAAAAAAAATTCTTGCAGATCAGTTCTAAACTGTTCAACCCTGTAATTGAGCCGCAAATTGACAGACTCACTTGCTTACCATACAACTCTTAGGCTAATTAGATTCTATATTTTGTAATGTTGGTAGGATTTAGAGATTATTTTTGATTAATATACTGCCTAGATTCACAACAAGAACAGCTCAGGGTTCACATGGGTCTTTTGGCTTTTATTAGTTTGGTCAATTTTAACTGCTCGATGGGAGTGTAATCAACTATAGATTGAGACATTAGGCATTTAATAATAAACTAGTTACTACTTAAGATGATGGAGGTAAAATGTTTGAATTTAATCCATTTATATCAAACCATGTGTGTGCGTGTGTGTGTGTATATATATGCGTGTGTATAGACACATGTATTTGCTATGATATTCGCCAAATCCATTGGATGTATTATGTACTCTGGCTGAAATCAAATATACATTTTTCAGATCAACCAAAAGAAAGTACAGGTTTAGATGGAAAGAACAGTATATTTGTTTTCGAGTGTCGTGAAAAGTGAATTAATATATGGCTATTTGTATCTCATTTTGTCTGACCGGCTACTTAGGGCAATAATCAATGCATTTATTTTCTATAATTACACTGGTCGGAAATTAAGTTTGAAAATGGAATCGAGAGATTCTATTTTTAGTAGTTAAAGATAAATAAAAATAAATTTCTTTAGTAAATTTATGACGCCCCTATAACATAGTTTCATTCTTAATTATCACTTGCAAAATCCTCCCACGCATGTATTTTTATGTGCAACCTGTGAAATGCCTGTAATTCTTAGGGTGATTCACTGGTTCAAGTTTGGGAAATATATAAGGGTTTATAGATGATTATATTAATTGAATAGTCGGATGACCTTTACTGTAGAGGGGAAGTTGGGTAATGAGATGGTGCCGGTTGGATTTGTGTTGCGCGCATGTTATAAAGCAGGTCATGTGTATTATTTAATAGTTACTGCAATGTCTTTTTCATGATAGTGAAAGGGAACACGATTTGGCCGCACTGCATTACCTACCCTGTGTGCCAATTAGACCTTTTGTCGGCTCTTTGGAGTCTCTCGAAGTGTTTTTTCTTTCTTTGTTTTTTCAAAGGAAAAGAAAAGACTGAGAGCTATTAGTATAATTTTTAATAGAAGTAAATATTAAAAAAAAAAACTCCCAAGTTTTAATTGTAATTACTGTTGTTTAAGTAAGCTTGGTATTATTATTAATACGTAGTTTAGTGATGAGCTTAAATTTTAATGAAAAGATAGAACTTATTATTTTTTATTGATAGTTTGATTTAGTGTTTTTTTTTTCTTGTTTAAAACAAGTTAATATTTAATTTGAAATTTTTTAATTTTTTTTTTTAAAAACAAGTT